CCCCTTGCGAGTCTGAAGGAGCTCGCCTTGGAGCTTCTGGACGATGGCCCTCTGATTGCGAGCGTCGCCGGAGTGGATGTTGGTCTGGAGGGCCATGGCGTGGATGGCGGTGTTCACCTGACAACAAGAGACTAAGGTCAGAGAACAGCAAAAGAAGGGAAAGAACGAGAAGAAAAAGAACAGACTACTTACCACCATACAGGAGGGAGGCAGAAAACGCGACGAGCGCTGTGGGCTCCATCTCCCCCCACCTAGCGACCTCCTTGTGGCAGGTTGCCCTTCGGCTCTTTTGGCCAGCCACATGTAGTCGTTGACACCCTCCTAGTTCCCTACCAGGAATTGCGGGTAGGGGAATGGGCGGGAGGGATCAGGAGGAATCACCCCTTGCCTCGGGAGCTCGCCCTCCTCGAGGCCACCTTCTCCTGCGCCTCCTTCAGATGGGGCCGGTGGAACTTCAGGCGGTGGAGAAACAAAGTCTGGCTCAGCAGACCCGAACTCAGTGCCCCCAGAAGTGGGAGTTTGGTCAGGACGCGACCTCTTAGCCTTATGCTTTTGGTTGCTGGAAAGAAGGCGGTGCACGTCAACACCAGACATGATGGCTGCCAAAAAACCACAAGATATTAGTCCAGTAAAAAAGAAAATATATGTATACACATGATATAATTTTACAAGGCACTACATGACCTAAAAGGCAACCTACCCGGGCTCAGGCCAGCCTACGCGAGCTTCTCCTCGGTCAAGTAATCTGAATAGAGAAGGCCTACAGCTGCCCAGGATAGCAGCATTTTTCGAGTTTCAGAGTCCAACTCAGCCCCGGGGTCCTGGATGGCGCCCCTCCATGAAGTTGGGAAGGGCCATCCCTTGGGGTTACGGACCACAAAATAGTCCTGCTTCTAGGCGGGAACCCTATTCGGCAGGTCGTGTAGAAGCTTAAAGCCGCGGCGGGGAGAAAAGTAATAAGAACGCCTTTCCGGAGGCGCTCCGGGAGTGGCATTCTTAATATAGAGAATGGAAGAAAAGATATCGAGATCAAGGGGGAGGCAATACTCATAGCACAGGGAAATGGTCCCAATCACATTCCGGATGGCGTTGGGATGGAGCTAGTCAATGGTGACGTTAAAATGATTCAACACCTCCACTATTAGGGGGTGCAGGGGAAGACACAGACCAGCCTTCAAGCTGTTCCTGGAAAATTACTATATCATTGGGACCATGCTCGCAAGGAAAGTTACCAGAGGGGAGATCGTAGATAAGGTCCCCGGGAAGGTGAAAATGGCGGACTAGAGATCTGAGTCTCCTCATCGTCATAGAGGAGGGACCGAAGGTGTCGGGCTCTTTGCCCCGAGAGGTAGAAGCCACATCGCCGGAGGCCTCCCAAGCCTCCCGAGCCTTCTCCCAACCTCCCCCCAAGCTCGAGGGGGCATCGTCGTCCTGGTCACCGTCCCGGGGATAAACATGGTACGGGTACCCAGACATGATTGATAGAATGAATGACTCACTAGAAAGATGAAATAGTGTGAACAGAAGAGCTTGGGTAGACTAGATGGATGCGCGACCTCAGAATCCGAAGACAGCAAGTTAGCGTGAAAGAAAATGAGGCATGGGGGCCCTCCTATTTATAGCCACTGTGCCCCTAGACCAACGGCCCAGATTGAGGCAGACCTGACGGTTCGCAGTCAAGCTAACCGCACGTCTTCTGAAACCGAAATGTGACTGGCTGCACGTCTCCCATGATTGAGGTAATGATAGCTGCACGACATCCAGAGTTAAGAGCCGCTTCAGCGCATTTCTCAGACCGCACGTCTTCTGAAACCGAAATGTGACTGGCTGCACGTCTCCCATGATTGAGGTAATGACAGCTGCACGACATCCAGAGTTAAGAGCCGCTTCAGCGCATTTCTCAGACCGCACGTCTTCTGAAACCGAAATGTGACTGGCTGCACGTCTCCCATGATTGAGGTAATGACAGCTGCACGACATCCAGAGTTAAGAGCCGCTTCAGCGCATTTCTCAGCATTCGAAACGTCAGAAATCTCCTGACTTCTGTGCACGCATTTAATGCGAGTAGTCAATCAAGTTTGAACTTCGGTCAAATCCACCTGTCCCACTTCATGAACTCCTCACGCTAAGATAACACTCTTAGCCCGAGGAGTGGGGGGCAATTGATGGAGGATGATTTGACCCGACCCTTTGAGACAATGACACGTGGACCTAACTCAACACGAGCAACATCTCAGCACCACAGCCTGACTGCGACCAAGTAACGAGCCTGTAGGACAGCTCGCTACGTCATAACTTGCTATAGGGAGAGCTCGCTACAGCGCGAGCTCGAGGTCCTCCGAGCTACCGAAAGGGAATACTCTAAGACTATCTTAACTCGCGAGCTAGGGTAACCAGCTCGCTCCAACACTTAGGCAAAAAGACTACCCCAAAGGCAATCCTGATGAGGGTCAGCTCGAAGTACCCCTGGGAGCTCGTGACAAGATAGCTCGCTGCGTGACAGGGTAGCTTGCGACTAAGTAACGCCACGCCTCTTGACTGACGGCGCAGTCCCTGTCCATTCGGCAGACTGTACCCACGTCTCTTGACAGATAATGGCGTTCCTGTCCTCCCGGGACGTGTCACCCATCCAATTGGGTAGTACCCTACAACGGTCACCTGCGCAGCCCTGGCAGGTAACGGCTGCGACAGAAGCCTAGTGGCGGTTACGCCCGATTTGACAAGAACGCCTATATAAGAGCTCCCTAGTTGAAGGGAAGCTCTCTCTCTCGAACATCAGAGATCCTATCTGAAACTTACTTGTTCTCGAGCTAATCTTGAGAACTTAGTGATCCAGCGCGACCTACACTCTTAGCCTCTTACACTCTTTGCTTTCTCCCCCAGCATTCTAACTTAAGCTTCGGAGTATTCCTGTCGGGCAAATCCCCAGGGAATCCTTCGTCTTCTTCCTCTTAGGTGCCATCCGTTGCCAGCTAGGAGCCAGTCAGCAGCCAGTTAGGAGTGCCCGGATCGTGCCGCATCATCAATCTCTCTCTCTCTCAATCTCGCTCTAGCACTTAATTGTGAAAAGAAACACCTTTTTTTTCAATATTGTTTTGTGTTTTTAAGGAAAAATTATTATTGAAATAATAAAAAATAAATTTAAAAAATATTGGGAGAAAATTTCTCCCCTTTATTGCTTAGTTATAATATTAGATCCTAGGATTATGAAAGATAGTTTAGAAATTTTACTTGAATCACATTGTGAAAATATGAATATTGAAATTGGAAATAAAATAAAAGAAGCTAATAGTTTATATGAATATCAAGTGGTAGGGCATAGGAAATTTTGTACAAGTGCAACTTCCACTTCTGAAACAACTAGTTTCAATAGTGGAAAAGACAAAATTCGGTCTCTAATACATGAGAAGTAGATATCTACTAACAGTTCATCATCAAGTTCATTTACTAACTTAATTTTTATTTACAAGCAAGTGTTTCTACTTTAACTGATTCCTACAATGTGGGATGTGATAATTTTGATATTTTAGCTTTGTGGAGGGGACATAAAAATATTATCTAGTCCATGCCACTATGGCACGTGGTCTACTAATCCCTCTGGTGTCTACAATTCTATCGGAGTCTTGTTTTAGTACAAGTACTAGGATGTTGGACAATAAGAGAAACTGTATAAATAATGAAAGTCTAGAGATGTGCAACTGCCTTAAAAGATTGGTTGGAGGTTGAAGACAGATTACAAGACAAAGGAAAGCATGACATTACACATGTTGTTTCACCTAAAGCAAATGATGAGAATCAAGAAGATGATTAGATGAAGATGCAGGTGGGGGTGGAACTTGAAGAAAAATGATGAAGCCAATAATTTTTAATTTTTTTTGTATACTCAATATTTTATTATTTCAATTGTTATAATTTTTTTCAATTTTTAAAATTATTGTATTTGTTTTCAATTTTATTTAAATTAATTGTTAATTTTTCAACAATTTAATTTTTTTTGCAATTTATAATTGTATTATATTTTTTTAATATTTTATTCCATTTTCTATATCTCATTCATCCCATTGACCATTGTATTGTTCAAATTAAGAAATAAAATTCCTAATTTTCCAATTTCTTTTCCATTTTATATTTTATTAAATATTTAAATATTCTTTAATTTCTTTATTATTGAATTAAGGATAGTGAAGTATTAAGTAGCAAAAAAAATCAAAATTTCAAAAAAACAAAAAACAAAAAACAAAAGTTTGGCCTGATTCATCCTAGGCCCAAGGCCTGTCTAATAGCCCAGCCTAACATGAGTCAAGCCCACCACACGACCTGCAACTTGCTTGGCCCGACACGAGCTTGGGCCATGGGCCATGCTAGACTGACCCCCCAAAGTATCCCAGGAGAAGAAAGCATGGCCTGACCCACACTTTACACAGGCCACACGTGGGCCATAACATACCGGCCCAACACAGCCGGATTTACACATCTACCATGGACCATAACTTCACCTCTTCTAGCCGTAGCACTCGGCCGCCCTCACTCATGGAAGTTTGTACATTGATATGGATCCGGTCCAACCGGATCCTTCAATCCAAATATTCAATGCCTTAGAATGAAATTTGTCCTTTAGGTTGTTAATTTCTTCGTAGCAGGGACATTATAGTCATTGTACACATCTCAAAAGTCAAAATATTGAAATGTGTCATTGAGCGAAATCTCAGAGGCAAAATTGGTAATTTTGACGAAAATGTTGGGATCTTGGATTGCAATTGGAGAACCATCAAAATCTTATTAAAATACAAACTGAGAGGTGAGAGCCGATCACAGCCATACTGCCAGACAAATAAGAGTGGAGAGAAAAGAGAGAATTTGAGAGAGAGAGAGCCGCCAGTCAAACGCACATATTTTGACCGAGACATTTTCTTTGGTCAAAACTCCTCCCTCTCAGCTTCTAGGAAGATTCCTGGGGACCTTGGAGCTTAAAGACGTGACCATTTTTCATTTCGTTTCTTCTTCTTCAAGTTCAAATCAAATACGGTTGCACCGCCTCATCTCTCCATTTCTTCATCTTCCCCCTTTCTCTCTTATGGCCTCTTCATCTGCGAGCCTTGAGAGATCTGTGAATTCCCATCCAACGACCTTCTCATTCCCCAACCATCTCATGACTACTTCGTTTTCCGACCTTCTCACCGGCGACGATGACGCCCACTCTCAGAAGCAAGACCAAATTACGGTCAGCAGAGGACTGTCTGATCATATTGCCGATAGAACTGGAGCCGGTGTTCCAAAGTTCAAGTCTATTCCACCTCCTTCATTACCCATCTCTCCTCCATCTATTTCTCCTTCTTCTTACTTCGCTATACCGCCAGGGTTGAGCCCAGCTGAACTGTTGGATTCTCCTGTCCTTCTCTCCGCTTCTAATGTAAGTATACACCTCATTTCTCATGTTTACTTGAATACCCATCTCCTTATTTTGTTTCAGCGTGTTCGATTGGTCGATTTATCTTGAGAATTCTTACTGATGTTTGTTTCTTCTTTCGTGTGTATTAACAGCTTCTACCATCTCCTACGACTGGGAAATTTCTCTCTCAAGCATCCAACTGGAGAAATAATTCATTCAACTACCAGCCAAGTGTCAAGCAGGAAGACAAAAACTCGGATTTCTCCTTCCAACCCCAAACCAGGCCCGCTATGGGATCGGCATCCATGTTTCAGTCCTCTACCACTACGATTCCTAAGGTATAATCAATCCATTGTTTCATACAGTTTCCCTCTTCTTCGTAATCGATTTTCCATCTCCTAGTTAGTTAGATGAACGGATTCCTCTTTTTTTTATCGCTTTTTCTAATTGCAAGTTTTCAGTTGTTTTAATCCTCTTATATATGGTTGATGATAATTAAGAGTTTACTTTGTTGCAATCTAATTAAATAGGACGAAAACTCGAAAGGACTTGAGCAAGCCTGGAATTATCAAGAACCCACCAAGCAAAGTGGTTTCTCATCTGGGAAGTCCATGGTGAAGTCCGAATTTGCTCCGCTTCAGAGCTTCTCACCCGAGATTTCCAGCATCCAAGCTAACGCCCAAAACAACGGCGGATTCCAATCTGATTTTAACCAGTGTCCTCAACCTTCTCAGTCCCTCAGAGAGCAAAGGAGATCAGATGATGGTTATAATTGGAGGAAATATGGGCAGAAACAGGTGAAAGGAAGCGAGAACCCACGTAGTTATTACAAGTGCACCTACCCAAATTGCCCAACTAAGAAGAAAGTGGAGAGGTCTTTGGATGGACAGATAACCGAGATAGTGTACAAGGGTACCCACAACCACCCCAAGCCTCAGTCAACCAGAAGATCATCATCGTCGTCGTCGTGCTCTCAGCAAATCCAACCCTCTGCAGCCCCCACCCTATATATCCCTGACCAATCATTCGCAACTAGAGGGAGTTCTCAAATGGAGTCCGCCGCTGCAACCCCGGAGAACTCTTCAATTTCGATGGGGGATGACGATTTTGATCAGACCTCTCAGATGAGTAAATCAGCTGGAGACGATTTAGAAGAAGATGAACCCGATGCCAAACGATGGTAAGCTCTACCTTTCTCTCCACTAAATTATCCATCTGATCAAAGAATTGTGCCTTGTTTAAGCAAGTTGCGAGTTGGGTTCCGATAATAGTTGTTCTTTCGTTCCAAATCTCAGGAAGAAAGAGGGTGAAAATGAGGGTATTTCAGCTGCTGGGAGCAGAACTGTGAGAGAACCAAGAGTTGTAGTTCAAACGACAAGCGACATTGATATTCTCGATGACGGTTACCGATGGAGAAAATATGGGCAGAAAGTAGTGAAGGGGAACCCCAATCCGAGGCAAGTATTCTTCCTCCATAAATTACTTTACTTTTGGTTATATTACATCTTTTATGATGCCGGCTGACTGGTTATAAGTTTCCGGTATCATAGTCGAAACTATTTTTTTTCTTGGTAAGAAAAAGGCGTTTAGTTTTTGAGAAATATATAGGCGAGAATATCATATTATAGGGCCGATAGTTATCAAAAACTATATGGTCAGTCCGGGTCCAGGGGTCCTCAGTCCTGGGTTTAAATATTATGGTAAATTACAAATTATCACCCTATGCTTGGCGACAATAAACCGCCCAAATAAAATCATTAAATTGCCCCTTGGAGATTTGATAAGCTGATAGCTTAACTTGTATCAAAGTGATGATATTGGCTATTGGGCATGTTAAACCACATCTCTGTTGGGGCAGGATCTGCCACAAACAATATGTGTACAATGGACTACACTACATATAACCCAAGAAATAATTAAATAAGCATATCAGTCATCCCAACAAATGCCACTTGTATGGATCATTGCCATGTTCATTATATTGTTTAATTGAGTTAGGGAGCCCATTGTGTACATGCCTGGGTTGTAGCAGCTCCAGAATGCATCCTCCAAAAATCATGTCTGGTATCTAGTCGTATTACAGCCAATATGTCTTCGCTGTTTACACCAAATTCTAATTCTATTCTATTCTATTCTAGCTAGAAGAGTTTGATATGTTTTAACTATTTTAATCTGCAATGATGGAGAGAGCAACTACGTACATGGAAATGAAGAAGAATTTAGTTCCATTATTAGTTGCATTATCATCAGCTTCGAGACTCGTCTAGCTCTCTCTAAGTCTAAACCTTTTGTTTGGTTGCTTGTTTGCAGGAGCTACTACAAGTGCACAAACGCAGGATGCCCAGTGAGGAAGCATGTGGAGAGAGCATCCCACGACCTGAGGGCTGTGATTACGACTTACGAGGGGAAACACAACCACGACGTTCCTGCCGCTCGTGGCAGCAGTAGTCATTCTTCAATCACTAGACCCTCCTCCTCCTCCGATAACAACAGTGCGGGAGCAACTATGGCTATAAGGCCTACAGCTACAGCCAGGCCCAGCACTAACATCAATCAGAACTCCTCCTCGTCGACCAACCCCCTCCACAGCTCTCAAGGTCAAGCTCAAACACCCTTTACACTCGAAATGTTGCAGAGCCCCAGCAGTTTCGGATTCTCAGGATTCGGAAACTCCATGTCCATGGCCTCCTCCTACATGAACCAATCCCAACAATCGGACACTGTTTTTTCTTCTAGAGCCAAAGAAGAGCCCAGGGACGACTTGTTTCTTGAGTCGCTGCTTTGTTGAAATTTGCTATTTAACTTTTTTTTAGTTAAATGGAACAACGGGGGGACGGACGGGCTACGGGCTACGGTTTCGAAACGATTCATAACAATAATAAAATTAAGGAAAATGGTCAAATTTGTTTGGTTATTGTGTAATGTATATTTTGTAGGGATTTTGGTTTGTAAATTTTTTTTTTTTCTCCCTAAAACCGATATGGAGTTGGCTTCATTTGTTCATTTGTTCGGAGGCTCTTCTTTTGATTGGGTTCAGGGAAGGCCTCATTTCATACATGTATCATCAAGTATGGAACAAAATGGATTCACATATAAAGAGACATAGATTTAATTCGGTTCTGTTTCCCATCTTCAAATATTCTTGATTGATTTTCCATGAAATTAAATACAAATATGTGAGACATTAGAATTTTGAAGAAGATTGATGCCAAAGCTTGTTCTATGTTAATATTATGGGTTTCAAGCTCGGGTGAAGGTTGTGATACATTGACAAATATCATTAAAATCTTTGCCAAACTTTTATGGACAAAGTTTTACATAAAATAAAATGAAATAAAATGAAATGATGAAGCATATAAATATATATATATATATATATATGCCACAGTGGACGGTAAGGAGGAGTAAGATAAAGTGATGTTGGGGTGGGCAAAACAGTCATTTTCAATAACTATAGAAAATCAGAGCCCTTGCATTGATTGCATTTTATATAATTAGAGTGGAAAGCAGCATGCCATCTTTGAATGGGTCAAAGATTTTAAGCGGTTGTTACTTGGTGAACACGTTGTCTCGTCGTCCTTTCAAGAAAATCCTTTCTATCTTTTTATTCAATTTATATATCCATCTTCTTTTTTTTTTTTCCTTTTTCTTTAATCCTTTATTTTGTCTGGATTCATTGTTCTAGACCCGTACCCCACCAGGCATTTAATCCAACCGTATTCCGATCTACTCCCAACAGACGCTTCCCCGACAACACATTTCCACACCACGCTGACGCCCGCGCTGAATTCATATCTGCGCCCGTAAGAGGGCGCCCCACAAGTGCCCCACAGCAAGTAAGAGAGATGTTTCTAATATACGGTTGTAATGTATTATTGGTCACTTGACTCACTCGTGGGGCGCATTCTGTCGGGCTCTGATGTGAATTCGCCCGCGCTGAGACATGCAAAGATTATGGGTCTGGAGTGAATTAAAAATTTCAACCTGGGATCTTTAGGTCTTTACCAGAGAGTTTAGATTTTCTGCTCATGAGAATTCTGTTCATATTTATTATAGTTACATATAGAGAATATCTCATCCCTACATAGTATTATATATAGGGAGATGTTCCTAATTTACAGGAGGGAGGGGGGTAATTTATTGTGGGTAGGTGTAAATAGAGTTCTCATGGGCAAGAGATCCAAAGTCTTACCAGATTGGAATCTAGATGGATGCAGGGAGTAGATCTGATTTCAGACCTCTTTAATATGACGTATACCAGATCCAAACCAAAATACTTCAGTCATAAAGTTAATTCATCTGGGTCGGTACTTGTGTTATTGATTCAGTCCATTTTCAATATTTGGTGCTACTTAGGCTCAAATTGGAAGGAGTACAAATATAAATATGTAGAGTACAAAATTATGTATTTTATATTATTTTACATTTATTTGTACTGTATATATTTGTATTCATACTCTTTCCAAACTGAGCCTTAATAACTTATAAATTACATTAGAGAGATCTATTCGATTGTAACTAAACATGATACACGAATATGAAAGACAAATTCAAATCCACAAAAGGGTTGGATTTCAAGTATAATTAATCCTTTTCATTAAATCCATTTCTTTTTAGGTGGAATATGAAGGGTTTAAAGTATTAATACATCCAACATACAGGAACCGATGCATCAGGAGCAGTCATATTAGGTGTTTCAATATCAAAAAGCATTTTTTTTTTGTTTTTTTTTTCTCAAAATTGGTTAGGGATCGGTTTTAACTCTTAAGCCTAACTACCCCGCCCAAAATCCCAAATCTTTAGGCAATGTTTGAAAAAAAGTAGGGAAATTTCCTATCTTTCCCTATCTTTCTCTTCCTTTCCTTACATTTTCCTTCAAATCAAACACAACCTTAGTATTTGCAATATCAGTGCTTTTACAATATAATACAATATGTCTAATACATGTTAAAATTTTTTAAGGTTGAACTCAGTTTGGGAAAGTGTAAATGCATTTATAAGTTCAGTGCAGAACCTTGTATACAGTATTTCTAAACCTTGTATTAATTTATACTTATATACACATTTGTATTTACACTTATCACAAACTGACAAAACTCCATCCAATTCCAAAGAAAAAACTCTCGTTGTCAAAATTTGACAGCCTTTGCTGCATGTCTACATCCTCTATTCTTGTGACACATTAGTTAATTCATACAGCCATGGAGAACCCAGGCTGTAGGGTAGGAATGCAACTTGGGTAAGCCTGGGGCTGACGTAGACTAGTAATGGTTTGTACTTTGTATCGTTTGGATTCTTGTATCATCTCCTCCGTCGACTAGTAATAGTTTGTATTGTTCAGATTCTTGTGTCATCTCCTCCGTCGACTAGTAATGGTTTGCAGAACATTGTCGGTTTGGGCTCAATACAACTACAGGGTTAGTTGGGTCGTGACTCGTGAGATGTAGACCCATCTTAATTAGTTCCTAAGAGAATAGTTGAGAAGATAAAATCCAAGAATTTGATCATCAAGACGAACCAACCAACACACCAAGGCTGATCTACTGAATTGCAACAAGAGTTGACCCAACTTGGGACTCTGCCTATATCTACACTATTGTCTATTCACCAGCTATGTCGTTTATAAAGTATATAATTCGGCTTCAGTGATCTTCGTGTCAGGTTACTACTACTCTAAATTCTGTGTCTGCTGTAGAAAATCAGTGTAGCAAGATTAGCCAATTCTTCTTAGCTCAACAATCTTTAATATCTTAGGCATTAAACCTTCAAACTCTACCACTTTACTAAAACCATACTTCTTACCACTAAATTTGGGGAGATTTCCAGGCTTGCGAATCAGGGTGGTTGAAGATTTTCTTTTTGTCGTCTGATTGGTATTCAAATTGAAAGCTTTGGTTCCATGGGTTGCCGTGTTATCACTATGATGTTTAAAATTTTTCTACCGCATTATCCATTGGTTAAGATCCAACATTGTAATAGATGTAGGGGTGTCAATTGGACTGGATTTGATCTAATCTCATCCAGTCCAATGTGTTTCCAATACAAATAGACCAGGTCTAATTCAATCCCATCCAGTCCAATGTGTTTCCAATACAAACAGGCCAGGTTTAATTCAATACAATGAATATTTTGGACCACTTTGGCCAGTCTAATTCAATATTTGGACCGTCTAATTTATTCAAATTTATTTTAATTTAGATTATTTCTAATCTAAACCTGCTCCATTGATGCTTATATTTGTATCTTCTATCAATAAATCAAATATTGGCTTAATTCAACCCAATCCAATATAAATTTGTTATGGATGGACCAGCTCCAATCCACTTCAATAAACACTTTGGACTATTGAATCTGGACTGGTCCAATTTAATATGTCTTGTTGGTCCATCCAATCCGTTCAAATTGATTTTGGTGTGGATGTGATCCAATCCAAAACCGGTCCATTACACCCCTAAATAGATGATCTAACATCTCATAGGTTAAGCTGATGGCTAGGGATGTTCTCAATTCTGTTTGTGACTGGATACATTACTGTAGTTGTGTTTATGATGTATTTAGTTATGTAATTAATGTCTTCTTTTGCAGGAAAAAAAAAAGACACTTTTGAATTAATCTAACTCCACCTCCATTAGCAAGCATTACGGTAGTTCAAGGAATCAAGGTAACTGATATTTTCTTCCTTTTTAGTTTTCATATTTCTAAAGTGTAGAGAACTTTTATGGTGGGGATTGGGGAAACAAAAAATAAAATAAAATAAAAGCCCAGGCCAGACTTCATGATGCACATAAACGCAATTATGTGATGGGTGGATAATGATAAGATTCTTTATATTTTTATTTTTATGAATTGCATATTAATAGCTGTACTCTGGCAAAAAGTTGATTCTACCCAACCCAACCCAATCCAAAAAAAATAGGGTTAGGATCGAAAAAATTGGGTTGGGTTGGGTTGGGTCATGGTTCAACCCACTAACCTGATTATCAGGTCTAATTGGAAGTATTTATGTATTGTTAGATAGGAATGGCAATGGGGTGGGGTGGGGCCGAGTTTTTCCTACCCCGGCCCCGGCCCCAAATTCAAATTTCCCGCCCCGTCCCTGCCCCAAACCCTGATGGGGCTAGAAATCCTAACCCCATCCCTGTCCTTATAGGGAATGGGGATCCCTGAATTTGCTCTGTCCTACCCCACCCCAGTTATTCTTATTTGTATACTTACAAATTTAATATTTTATTTTTTTTGAAACCTACTTAGAACTATTTTATATTATGTAAAATAGTATAATATAATATATAATAAAATACTATAATATAATATATATTAACATTTTTATATATAGATTATGTTATATAATATAGTTAGGGTGGGTTTCGGGTTGGGTGTGAGGTGGGGTGAACAAATACCATCCCTGCCCCGTCCCCAATCCCTAGAGTATCGGGTTTCCCTGAACCTCCCCTAAACCCGATCAGTGGTCAAAATACCTGCCCCAACTGGGCAGGGCGGGGCGGTGCCCCACAGGGACGGGTCAAATTGCCATCTCTATTGTTAGAAGTTTTCATTCTTTAATCTTTACTATTTATCATTTACTCTTTGAATTTTTGAATTTTCAAGTTTTTATTTTATGTTTGGAATTTTAATGTTCATTCCTTTAATTTGGCATTTTCCATGTATTTTTTCTTCATTTTTTCAAATTCTAGTTATTTTTAGGATTGACCTGAATTGACCCATGGGTCAACCCTAACCTGAACATTTAAAGCTAGGGCCTAGCATTTGTTGACCTAACCCAAAATTCAATGACCTTAAATCATCCCAAAGTGTCTTGACCCAACCCGAACCTGACCCACCCAATCCAATTGCAAGGTCTAGTCTAAACAACCAAGCACAAAATGCCAAAATGAGAAAAACAAATTTTCCTTTCTCATCCCATCCTTTATCATTCTGTCTCTTCTCATCCCATTCTTTCTCAGCAACCAAATAGACCATTAGGCTCCAATTGCTTTGTGGGATGGGAAAGAAAAATATGAAATCTTCCTCCATTTCCATGTTTGGTTTGTGGAGTGTCATGAGATAGAATGGGAAAAAGGTGGTACTATATATAGATCCCAATTCTTGGGATGTGGAGT